TAAGCAGAACTTAGGGTCTTCTGCAGGTTGAAGACTCCTTACATGATCCTTGAAAAATAGACATTTTAAAAAACTGGCCCTACTTTTCAGTAAAGACGGATGGAAACATGATGCTTTTCATCCACTTCCTTAATATTCTCCACTGGAACACCACTGAAAAATCTGACTGTATTATATTCATCTGCTGGTAGGCTGTATATGTAAGTGTGTTTACTTAGGTGAAGCATCATTTACTGTTCGATACCAATGTTGTTATTAAGTATCTGATAATTGACTATATAGTCTATATTTTATACATACATATCATATTTGTTACGATTCATTACTGAAAAAGTTTGATATTTTTTTACACTGAGTTGCTTTGCTATACTTCAGTATAAATCAAAGGTGCTGTATTTCTTTTCTGTTCTAGAACTGAATAAGGCTTTGAAGTGGTAAGAATACTGGAGACAATGGTTAGCAGCTTTCTTCAACTTTCTTTCGTTGTCAAAGAAAGTTCTAGATATTTCAGTTTTAAAGATTGATGAGCAAGCTGTAATAATGACATTTGAATTTTATTCATGATTTTAAAGACAGGAGCTATTCTAATGAAAATAGTTACCACCTGTTCTGTAGACATCCTTGCTTTGCCTATAAGCATCTCTCTCCACAGCTTTCTTAATTCCCTCTGACTCCCAATCCTGTACCTTCTCACATCTGTGCCTTACTTATATTCCTTCCTTGCTGTCTGTTGGACAACATCCTTTTTTTAAAGTCCCATTTCTCCCAGAAATATGCCCAAAGCAATCACATTCCCATATTCCCTTAACTAAACGTCCAATTTCCTTTATTTTTTTCTTCTTGATTTCTTTTTAAATTTACTTGGTTTTAATGAGTTTATATGGTCATATAGGAGTTTTAAATGATTTTAAAGAGTATCTCAAATAAAATGTGTATCTCTGTCATCCAGAGAGATACCCAAGTCAAAAAAGAGTAAAGCACAGATATGAACCCTATTATTTGTAAAGTATTCTTTTCCTAGCAAGCAGTTAAATGTATTCATATTCAGTGAGACTTCTGAAAGCAGTGCAATTATGGAACAGTCCAAACCACAACAATTTATCTTTTAAAGAGCTACAATGTCCAGATAACTCCTGCAAGAGCTATGTCATTTAGGTAAACTAAAGAGCATGTAGAAACTTTAAAACAAGAGTGCTCATTGTGGAAGTTGCTTGCATTTGATGTCATTTTAGTATATCTGTAATTCATGAGGGAAACCTTTTCCATTCTTGTATTCATAGAAATTTGTCAAGTAAAGATCTGTTTCACATTTCTCTTGTGAGTTATTTCTATACAGAATCACAGAATTGTCTAGGTTGGAAAAGACCTTGAAGATCATCCAGTCCAACCATTAACCTAGCACTGACAGTTCCCAACTACACCAGATCCCTCAGCACTGTCAACCCGACTCTTAAATACCTCCAGGGATGGGGACTCCACCACCTCCCTGGGCAGCCCATTCCAACGCCTAACAACCCCTTCTGGAAAGAAATGCTTCCTAATATCCAGTTTAAACCTTCCCTGGTACAACTTGAGGCCATTCCCTCTTGTCCTATCGCTTGTTACTTGGTTAAAGAGACTCATCCCCAGCTCTCTGCACCCTCCTGTCAGGGAGCTGTAGAGGGCGATGAGGTCTCCCCTCAGCTTCCTCTTCTCCAGACTAAACACCCCCTGTTCCCTCAGCCGCTCCTCATACGACCTGTGCTCCAGACCCTGCACCAGCTCCGTTGCCCTTCTCTGGACACGCTCGAGTCATTCAATGTCCTTTTTGTAGTGAGGGGCCCAAAACTGAACACAGGAATCGAGGGGCGGCCTCACCAGTGCCGAGCGCAGAGGTAAGATCCCTTCCCTGTCCCTGCTGGCCACGCTATTGCTGACACAAGCCAGGATGAAAGACAGCATTGATGGCAGCATTTAAATCACTCCTAGTAACTTATTAATATATTTTAACAGATCATTTAAATCACAGCCTTCTAGGAGTTAAAATATATTTTTGTTATGATGAGTGATACTGCATCATATTGTCATCTTTGCAAGGTTCCCAAACTTATCTATACAGCTCCTTCACGACGGCACCTACTCATATTTGTAAGGTGAAAGGAGTATTAAGACATAGTTCCAGCATGCTGGCAACTGTGGAACACATTAATTCTTTAGCAAAGGTTTGTGCATATGAAGTAAATCAAGCACACACTTCTTTTTCACACTTCTTATAAGGGAACATCACCTTACATACGTGCATTTTATGACTGGCTAAGGACAATAGCTAAAAGTATAAACTATGTATAGATTGGCATTTACTTTAATATAGACTGTCACTTACTCCAGTCACTGTTGTTTGACCATATTTGACCACCGCTGTGAGATGCACGTCTTCCAGTCTACACTCTGCTCCTTCCTACTGGGTTCCTCATATATTGTCTAAGTCAAATACAGCCTCTCTGCACAGCCACACAACTTTTTGTCTGGACAATGGCAAATATTTGGCTTTTCTTTAGGAAAAGGTTAAAGAGGCTTGAGATCATAAGGTATAAAAAAACCTGAACTGCACATTACTGGGAACAGAGCCAGAAAAGGCAGGTGATGAAAAGCAGAGAAACAGAATTAAACTACCAGTTAGAAGGGAAAATACTAAATGTGGGTGATACTTGCTACAAATGACTCACTACTGACAAGGCAGGTCCCATCCAGGAGAACTCTTTCCACTAAACACCACAGTCCATATTCTATAACATGGGCTTCTCTGTCTATCACATTTTCAGTTTACAAGTTTTCTTCAATCTAGGTGTCTCTAGCCCTACAGAGCAGATATTTTTAACTTTATATTTATTTCAGCACATCCCATGTAATTTTCTGGCCTGCTCTTTTTAACGCTTTCAGAAGAAGACTAAGTGGGGACTGGGAAGGGGAGAAAAAAGTTGTCCTGAGATTTGTTGTTATTTTTGCTAGGCTTTGCTTTCCTAAGGTAAGGCTGGCACAATAACTAAAATATTTTAATTTCAGTAAAATATATCTTTTACATTGCTTCCAGCACTGAAAATCTCTTTGTTAACAGGAAAGATACACTATGGGTGAATATCTTGGACTGTTCATTTACGGATCTCAGCTACATTACAGGCGCTACATGTAAGCAATTAATCTATATGACTTTTCAGACCTGAGATTTTTTTCCCCAGCAAATTTTCTTACTTGTTCATGCAGAAACATTATCTGAAAAGCAATGTACCTTCCATCTGCCAAAGGTATGTCATGTTTCCAGTTTCAAATACAGACTCGCCTTATTTCCACAGGGACACAGTCCCTTAAGTTCATCATGTGTATATTATAATATGATGACAGAATTGCGTTCAACGGAAATCAGAGCAGCTTTTTTTCACTTTCATGCAAAAACACCTATTAATGACGGGGTAATTTATCTGACAAGCGCCTAAACTCAATACAGGACCAAGTATTCACGAACATCTTTATAGCACACCTCTTCTATTAGCAGTTCTAGGTCACGTCTAACAATTCATCAGGCCTTTGGGCTACTGTCTGACATGATTTCACCTGTATGTTTCTCAGAATTAGTGTGGTGGTCAATGATCTGCTCTGCGGTCTGCCCTTCTCAAAGTACCTCCTGATGACTTCTCATCAGGCAGGAGGGGCACACGAACACAGTGCAGATACACATCTGGTCCCATGATGGGCATCCACAAACAACAGAGAGCAGACAGAATCAACACCACATGTGCCATGTCACAGAAATTTTGACCATATGATATGTTAATTTCTGGTCATGTGGTGATTGTATAGTTAACTACTGCAAACTTACAATAACTTCACTCATAATAAGAAACTATACATTTCATAACCTTAATTACTATCAAAGTGAGATATGGATGCTACTATCATGTTTTGATAAATATTTAGGGGCATTTTATTAAGAGGAATAATTCAGATCTTTATTAACAACTTGAATTAAAACAAAAGAGATTTGAAAACATTTAAAAGCCAAATTGTGAGTAACTGTATACTTACACATTTTTAAGGGGAATAGCAGGCTCCTTTCTAAGTTTAAAATTATAATATTTATTTGAAGTTTATTTGAAAACAGTGAATCTTACAAAACATTCAATGAATTGATAAAATAATTCTTCAAATAGGAATTATCACATAAGTTACACAGTCTCATCAGCATGGAAAAACTGGTCATCAGTGCTCATCTGGGTCCCAATCTAGTGAACTATTTAAGCATATCAGGTTAGTCTTACAGTTAAATAAGTAGGAATTTATGCTTCGCTGCATGAGGATCTTAGAAGAAACAAGTTAAATTGTTACATTTTTCTCCAAAGTCAAATAAATGTTGAAAAATATTAACAAAACTAAGAAAAATTCTGTTGTATCTGACACATACTGCTGCCATTCTTTCTTTAAAAATATGATTTAAGGAGTAATGTCTGCTTATTCTTGCTGCCAAGATCTATCACCTACATCTGTCTAGATCTATTGATCTCACTCAGTAAACCCATGTATCTTACCGCCACCAAATATAGTAAAACATGTACATTTCTGTGTTGTGAACTGGCATTTTTTTTTCAGGACAGCTGCTTAAATGTCACTGGAATACTAGGAAATGAAGAGAAACGTAAGACATCCATAGACATGTTGTCCTGTTGCATTGTCTTAAAAATATTTGTAAATATTGCAACTCTTGATACTTACACAAGAAAAAGAGTAACTTCTGCCATTACCTTTCTTGCATAACTTTGCAATTAAAAAAGTGCTTCAAATATTTAAAGAATTAATGGAAAACTGAAAATATACTGTAGGTACTTATTAAGCAGCAGCTGGACTATTCAAATATGGCCATAAGATTAAAAAATAATCACGTGTTTAGAATTTATATCCTTGAAGCTCCTTGCAAATATTCATTACAATGATTTCAAAACAGTGGACAAGGAAAAATCACTTAAACTTACCCACATTTAATCTGCCTGTGACTTCACCATTTGAATTCCGAGCATTCACAGTCACATTGTGAGTAGACTGGAGAAGCAGTGATGAGTCCTGAAGTATGGAGAAGAAAAACAAACGTAGTTTCAACAGAATAATTAAAATTGTTAAAAATTTTCAGAATTTTTTCTAGTGTTTATATTACCTTGGTCACTGAAAGAGCTTTTCAGCTACAAAAGCATCCAGAGATGTAATCAAATAATCTGGTCAGATATTTTTGATTGCTTCAACTATATCAGATTTAAAATAAGAAAAAAATTACAGAGAATACTTCAAGTGAACAAAAGTAGTACTACTGGCCCAATGAACATGGTTGCTAACATTGTGTCTTTTTGAAAAAATTACTTAAGTACTAGATTTATTATATTTCACTACATAATTGAGACTCTAGAAGATAACCATTTAATTGAGGTGTGAGTACCCCACTTTGTAAATTTATACTGTCATATTAACTTGGTGAGAAACATGCATGTACATTCTGCTTCCTCAATGGTCCATGCAGGCTGTATGCTTTGGCTTGATTTTGGCATCTAGCACTGACTCTCCTGTCAAGAAACTCAGACAGTGGGTGATGGAGAAAGTGGCAGGTTGAGTAGTTCAAAGCTGACTTTAATATTAGACTACAGTACAGATTAGAGTGTCAGTCTAAATTAAAACATCTCCCTGTCCACCACTCAGAAGGATGACAGAAGTATGTCAGCAGACTGAACAGCATCACCTGCTTGTCTATATCCCTGCACCGTGATTTGAGCCTAATACGCTCTCTGTTGATCCACATCTGGTGTCCCAGAATACAAAATCACATCTGAAGGTCACAAAGCAATGGCACTCATTTTTGACCTAGCTCTCCTCACAGGCTGCATCACAGCTCGCACACTTGCAGAGCAATCGCGAGCCTCACGCCTACCCATCATTCTGTGGTACTTATGGAAGCCAGGGCATGACAAGCAGGTGTAACTGGTATCTTTATTCATCCCTACCACACCTCACCACAAGCCAGACTAGCTCTGCTAAGGATTTCAAAATTGCATGTAATTCTTAGACTGCAGTCAGCGTGGAATTACTTCACCAAAACAAAAACATCACCTTGTGTTAACTCATGGCTTAGTGTTGTGCTTGTTGAACTCCTCACAGGTGAGGTACCTTTTCCATTACTTATTCCCAGACCTGCCACTCAAACTCTCTGTACTTCAGGTCCATTGGAGCCTCCCCAAACTTCTTGTCTCGAGGAGCAGATGAGTAACTGTGTTGAAAGACCTAACTGTCCACTGTGCCCCATCAGATTACATATACAGATAGTAACGAAACCAGTTCATGGCAAGAGAAGGGTCCCGTTCCAGTATCGCACCATCCTCACAGGAAAGATTTTCTTCTTTATATCTAATCTGAATCTATCCTCTTTCAGTTTAAAACCATTATCTCTTGTCCTGTCACTACACTCCCTGATAAGAGTCCCTACTCATCTTTCCTTTAGGCCCCCTTTAAGTACCGGAAGGCTGCAATAAGGTCTCCACGAAGCCTCATCTCTAGGCTGAACAACCCCAACTCTCTCAGCCTGCTCCAGCCCCTTGATCATCTTTGTGGCCTCCTCTGGACCCATTTGAGCAGGTCCATGTCCTTCTTATGTTGGGGGCCCCAGAGTGACTATGCAGCACCTTGAAAGGCTAACCCCTGAAAAATCACTCCCAAGTCATGATCCCGCTGTAACTTAATGCCTAGAGTATGAGATAACCTGAGAATTTTGAACATTTTATGTGAAGAATTTTACTGAAAACATCTAACAACAGTGGTAGAAGCATTACACAGTTTGGAGACCAATTAATGCTTTTTAAAACAAAAAGGGTATCTTACAAAATAAATGAATCTCATTTTGTAAATTATATCAGGAAAAAGTGAAAGCTAACAGAATTAACAAAATTAATGAAAAGTCTTAGGAAAAAAGTAAGCAGTGTGTTAGAATGAACATTAATTGTAATAAGTTGGTATGAAGTGGAAAAGGAAGGTCAAGAGAGATCATTTAAGTACATGTGCTAAATGACCCACAAATCTGGGCATCTTTACTACACTTATTTGCTGCTGGTTGATTTCAAAAGTAAGTTAGTAATTTGTAATATCAAATCTAAGCATGAATGAACTGTATTCTAGACCTACAGTTTCCACACATGTGTTGTTGACTAATTAAAGTCTAGTAATGTATTTATAAATGCTCATCTTTTATCTTTCCATGAATATGTATTAGCTAAGATGCAATGGTGCTGCCCACAACTCCGTGTTGGACTCATAATGAAGGCATACACTTCTGATAGGCTCCAGAGATGATGCACAAGTAGATATTCTGCTACATATTTTCTTAGCGCTTTGAAGACCTTATTAGGTGAGAAAAGCTGTTAGGAGACTGCAAGAAGAAAATTATTAAGGCAGGGGATGATAGCTGTGACTGGCCCAATTCTCTAACAGACAAACTCAGAAAAAGAAATCATAAAAAATAAGCAACTTTATGAGAATAAATATATAGACGGCACTCAGGAGATCAAACTACAGGCAATTAAGCCTCTAGAGAGTTCAAATATTCTAAAAAGCAAGCAAACAAATAAACAAAAAACCTCTGATGAATTATCAGTTCATAGGGGGCAGAGACATGCAGTAGCCTGAAGGCTCTAATTAATGCAGGCTACAAATGATCGCAATGGGTCATTAGACAGCTACATTTATGTTAGACGCTGCCACACCTCTACCTATATGGTAGCGAAAGTATTAAGAACTGGAAAGAATATTAAAAGAGCACAAATGGTAGTTTAACACTGCATAACATTTTGGGGGGGCAGAGGGAGTTCTTTGATATTAGCTATGTTGGTCTAAAGAGTCACATGTCTTACTGGATAAACAGCCTCAAATTCATTTAAGCACGTGAATAGCATTCCCACTGCCTACGACGCTGAAAAGAATACAGCATAAGAAACGAAATGGAAATATAGATTTAATAATGGAATTTCACTAAGTAAGAGCTGTTCCTGCTACTGGAAATACTTGTTGTGGAAAGAGAGGAAAAATAAAGGCTTAACAGATGTATATGCTAGCATTACTTAAGTTTTAGTAATCAAGCATTTTAACTTCATTCTCATAAATTTATTTACAAATTTTTTTGCTATAAAGATACAAATACTCTTTTCCCTAGGTTCAGAAAAGTCTCAGAGCTGGCTATTCCTTCTTGGTGAAGATGATTACATGTCTGAAGTAATGAAAGTGTCATATTCAGCTTTTACTCTCACTGAATAATACTTTGTCCAATTAAATGTCCCATGGGTTGATGGCAATGGTCATAAAACATGGCTTTATTTTGTCAGAGTTGGGATTACAGACAATAGTTCTGAAAAATATGCAATTTGCTGGCCAGAAACAGGTACCACCCTGTAAAAAGTAAGTTTCAGTTTGCGTGAATAATTAAAAACCAATTCAGATTCTCTCTTACTTCCTTTAAACCCAGCTCTTCAGTAAAAATCTTTCATACCATACCAGTTCCATTTAAAAATTAATCTGCTTGGTAAATATTTTTTTTGACCAAATACATTACTCTTTTTTTACCTTAATATATTATTACAAAATTTTCTATGTAAACAAGATTAAATCCTATATCTTTCCATTCAGTCTTGTAGATTTTATTTTATATTTATATTTATACATAAATATATAGAGATATCATATACTTAATATCATTGTCCTAGAAGTGACAAAACTTGAACTTAATGGAGAAATCATAATATTTCCAATAGGATCCACTGTTTTTAGAGATATTGAAACTATTCTGTAACATATGAGTAAATAAAACAATCAGTCTCACAGGGAAGCCTGCATTAAAAAAATATCTTTGTAAAAGTAATGAAAAACTTTCTACACACTCTTAAAATTTTAACATTGCTTATTTACAATGTCCTTTATAATTCCTTTTTGGGCTACTTCTTATGATATGCCTAAGAGAAAAATGTTAATTCTGCCATAGGATCAGAACATTGCCCTAATGATCATGCATGTAAAATATGCAATATGTGTGTATACACATATACACCCCCCCCATATATATGTTTTTCCATGATAAATGCTTGGAATTTGTCTAAATTCAATTGTTCATAAGTGAATTAATTTTATTTCAGTGTTATTGAAAGATTATCTGCTTACCACACGAGAATGGATTTCTTTGGCATAAAGAGGGAATAAGAATTCCGATTCCCCTTCCAGACGAAGACCTTCTTTTGTAACACGTAGATGCCCCATTCCAGTCTGAGAAGATGCAAGAATTATGCACATGTTATTATTGTTGCTGTATTTATTTTTTTGTTCTTTTCATAAACTGAGACTTTCCAAAGCTGTCTGCCTCTAGTCCATGAATAGATACCCATACTAATACACTTAAAATTTTGAGAATTTCTTCCAGAGTATTTTTCTTTAAGAAGTTTTAGCATTCTAGAAAAAGTTACTAGGAGTTTGATTTATTTTTTTTTTTAGCAAAAAAGACAGTATTACAGTCATTAACTTTAAAAAAATTGCGTTTGTATGGGCTGTGTTGAAGTAGTCTTTGTACTTGCCTTCTAAAAATGTCACAAACAACAAACTTTTACAAATGAGTACTCACACAAAACAAACCTTATGCTAACATTTCAAGATTTATTCTATTAATAATATATTTTACAAAGAAATCAATACTTCTAAACCTACTGAAGAGACAAACAGGAATTTTTATTTACTCCCACTTTCAGTAATTAATTGCTTTTTAATTCGTTTTTCATTCCTTGACTTTTTTTTTTTTTTTTTTTTTTTTTTTGTTCCCTACTTTAATGGTAGATCAAAGCTCTCTCTCTCACACTATCACCCTCTTTTCCCTCTATTATCTAGTTGTCAGTTTTTGTACCTTCTTCATTCTCTCTTACTTGCCCCCTCCCAACTTTTGCCCTGTTGTGCTTTCCAGACCTTATCTTATTTCATTCTTCTTTCATTCATCATTATCATAGAATTGATAATGTGAAAAATGAGTGACAAATTACTTCAGTGAATACATCTGAGAACATGCATGCTTCAGCTGCAAGGTATTTCACAGGTATTTAGCTATTTTGTAAAGGATTAATCCCTCCCCCTGCCATAAAAAGGGAAATAAAACTTGGCAAAAAATTTGTAGCCTTACAGCTTGGCCACAGGTGAAGCTATTTCAAGTCAGCTGCCTTAAACTATAAGGAGTGGCTAAATAAACTATAAGGGAGAGCTAAATAAAACCCAATAAATCTAAAAAGTGTTTTTACTCCAAAATTTTTTCAGGTTATCCTTCATGTAAGTAGGGAAAAAGAGATATATGTATCTCATATCAGTAGGTCACTGATGATACATCTAATAACTTGTTTATTGATTGAATTATGAGTTATTGAATTACCACTGATAAAAATTTTAACTTTAAGAGACTTCACTTTCAAATATGGTATGTTCTGATCAGTAAGACTAAATATATTTATTAACATATATATACTGTTAAATAAAATGTTTAACCAGGCTTCAATGAAAAACTGTAGCTATTTTCTTTTAACAGGCTTGAGAGACAAAGAAAGAAACAAGCTTTGCTTAAATTCCAGAAGGTAAGAAATGCTCATGTCAGCAGTTCACTACACTGGAGAGTATAGCTGCAATTTCTTCTTAGCAAGGATTTATTTCAGGAAAGAGGCTTTTAGAATAGCTATTTATGGAATCTGTTATTCAGTGTCAAATATTTTACTGCTTTGAAATATAATGTGCTGACTTTTCTCAGTGGAAGTAGATACAATTTCTAAATTCTAGACCATTGCAAAGCTTTTGAAAAGCATGAGGCAAAACTAAAATAATACCTGTGATGAGCCCCCTATGGCTTTCATAATCATAATTCTGAGCTAGTTCTGAGTGATTTAGAAATATGTTTTTCTAGTGAAGACTATGGACAGCTTTTCCAAACTTGTAACACAAACCAGAGATCACTTCAACACCATAAAACCAAATCGGTTTTAAGACAAACGCTTCTGAAAAAGATCGCATGAAATATCAGGATATTCTAAAGAAATACCACTAACAAACAGCTCTCAATTAACTAAATTTAGGGTCTCATTATTTGCTCTGATCTCATGACTCTTCTCATGACTCTTCCCATCAGGTGAAAGTAGATGATATTAACCATCAGGTTTAAACACAGTTTTCATATTTTTTTCTGGAATGTAAAGAACTGAAATACCAGTATATTATAGAGTAAGTAGTAATAAAAATGTCATTGAAAAATCTGAAATTTAAGAAGGCAGAGGAAGAGTAGCAATTAATTCTTGCTCTGAAGCAGATTGGGGAAAATTAACAAACTCCTTGGTGGCAATCTCTATCATGCCTTTGGCTTTGCAGGGAAGAATTTTTTTTCAGAGACAAAAAAATGATAATTGATGTTGAGAAAGAAGATTAGGCAATTTACTCAGCACACTCTTTCTAATGGATTCAGAGTTTTCAGCAATGATTATTCTGAAAATGCTATATAGACAAAGGAATGTCTTCGGCATTAAGAATAATATGCCATGTGACAAAACTGAGCACTTTAACTTATCTGTAAGTTATTTTTCAGTAAAACCAGTCATATCACTCAAGATTACTTTAAGTATGTCCTCAAGTATGTCCTATTTTCTTCATCAGATATTTCATTTAATCATTGACACAAAGCTCACATTCTCACATATTTGAATAAGAGCCTCATTACTGATCGTCACTGAGCACTCACGAAGTGCAAAACCATGGAAATTTAGACTTGGGCTACCTGCATAAATGATTATCTGTGATGACTAACAAATAAACTCTGTAACATGCATGAGAACAATAAAAATGTGCATTTCATATAATAATCTTCACTTCTATTACCTTTGTGATTGTAAACAATTATTATTTCTTTAGTACCATATTTGAGCATCTCAAGATTGTAGAAGTACTGAATTATGCAGTACTATGTGATAGGAAAATTCTATTATTCCCCTTTTTATAACTGGCAAAATGATGTTACATGGAATATAAAAGAGAGGAAATTAGGATAAACAACCACCCTAGTGCCCAGAGATGCAATGGTAAATTCCATAAAAAGGAAGAGCATAATAGTTACACGCAATATTCTCTCAAACCCCACTCTGCTTCTTACATTACCATTTAGGAGAAGCCAGTTTTTATTTACTGGGTATTGTGATTTCATCAGTGATGAACAACCTTGATGCTTTCAGTTTCAAGGATGTGATTCTGTTCCTATTCAAATCATTGAATCAAGATATTTCTATTGAGTTGAGGAAAGGGTCCAAATATCAGTTAGATGTGAACTTTCATGCAGTTATACAATAAGCTATTGATTAGAAAAAAAACCAAGTGTTTCACTAAACATAGCAGATGTATGGCAAATCTGGATTCTTGTTATTCTGATGCTGGTGACTGTCACTTCTTGAGTGTGCTGGCCTTGAGCTGTAATACATTCTTGTGCATATAGTCCTGAGACTCATGTTTTCTAATTACTCAAAGCCTTCAGCAAGGCAGCTGTATAGAAGCGGAGGATGAAATGTTATCTCTAGACACCGAGCACATTTTGCTATTGCTGCAAGGAGTCGACTGGTGTGGAAACTGCTGGCATCTGCCAAACCTTATGCACCAATGATGCAATTTAGCATTAGTACTCACAAAGGTGAGACCAGTTTTTCATTTAAAAACTGCTAGGCATATTCTAATTGGAGTAATAGGGTGTCTTCAACCAGAGTAGAAGCATTTTTCATCCTTTGAAAATGCTCCCCAAGAAGTTAGTGCTTGCAGAAACAGAGACAGGCCTTCTACAAAAAATTCAAGCTCTGAGTGGGTTCAAGCCTCATAAAAGCTCAGCAAAAGGCTCTTCGCGACAATCACGGTTTAAAGGTTATTTGACAGCTATTCAGTGAAATGCCTACAATAAGATACTCCAAACCACCTGAAATAAGTACTCGGTGCTACAAGAATCCTGGGTAAGACTCATTGTGCTATAGAGCATCTGGATGGGAGGACTGTCTTGGATGGGTTATTGTTCCCTTAGACTTTATACACAACAAATGTAAAATATTTTTTCCTCTGAAATAGGGGATTCAGTTTCATATTCTATAAAGCCAGCAGAGAAGTGCAGTATGTCCACAAGCCATGGAAAGGACCTTGTTTTTTTCAGACTGTAGAAGAGCTGCGTCCTTCATCGGGACCAAAAACTTCCAAAAGCCATACTGAGAGCTCTGGTGGTATGTATGGCCCCCCTTCTTCTGGCTATGAATATCTGTGTTGAGGAAAATGGAGAAATGACTGGATAAAGCAAGTTTAACAGCATTGGCATGGCTGGTGCTAAAGGCCTGTCTTGTTAAAACAGGTTGCAAGAACTTTCCCTCCTTTGCCTGTTGTTATAGTGGGACCTGCTCCTCTGGCTCAGGACCAAGAAAGTCACATGGAAAGAGATGCACATTGCTGTGGGATAACTAGGAGTGGAAACAAGCAGATGTAGCTCTAAGGCTTCAACACTCACAAGTGACTTGCTCTTAGGTAGCTGAGCCTCATGCTGTCTATGGTTTATGGAGCATCAGATGATATAATTGGGATTTATCTCCCAAGCCAATATAAGCCCTTAGAAATGAGAATGAGGCATGAGGAATATTCATTCCGTTTATGATGAGTGCTTCTAAATGAGTATTTCTAGATTCAGTTAATAACTGTAACTTGCATTTTCCTACTGACACAAAAACTGATATACATGGGGGCTCACTATATATGATATGAACATATATGATATGAACATATCATATCACTGTTTCTGCACCTTCTCATCACTAGACTCAACTGCAGTCCTCAGACTCCTCTAGACAACAGAAATTAAACTTCTGGTCTGTGTATCAGCTAATAGCTGCACAGGAAGCTGTGTATCTTCCTCTCTTGTGGAGAGGTCCAATACTGGAAAGACAGGCATACCCATATGTTAGCATGGTTACAACAATAAAATCTCTAAGTTGATTCAAACATTAGCTTTAACATGCTCTCAATTCAAATCAAGTAGCTCCTGTCTCAGGAGTTAATAGTGTCACCAAAAACCGGGATAAAAACTTATTGACGCCAATGTGATGTAGATAAGCAGACACTTCTTTATTGACGGCCGGACGTGTAGGGGAGTGCTCTCACCACAACATGTGCCGGGCACCAGGATCATACACCTTATATAGAACTTACTCATACATATTCATTAAGTATTCATACATAAG